TCATTACAGATCGACCATCATTCTTACTCAGGCTTACTCTTCGTCAGAACAGCCAGCGCTAATAAGTTGCCATACCTCCCGGACCAGCCATATTCGACCTGAGGTGCGAGGATCTCCTAATCCACCTGACTTATAGCGCTTTCCTGAACCGCAGCAAATCCACTCCACCCGCTCCCGCATGTATTTTACACAAGCTCTGTAAAGCTTTTAAGCCTGTTGCTCAACAGGTGGAAGAGAGCACAACACATTTTGTTTACTTTGTCCAAACTTTTTAAACTCCTATAAGGATATATTAATTGGGCGAGAGGGCTGTCCTAGCTTTTATAGCATGTCACCGAGCCCAATAATGCAAGGGTAGCTCAGTTGAATCACTTTTTTTGGTTTAGTCTATCGTGCTCAAATGAGGCTGTGCAGAGGCTGCCATGCGCGCCCTGTGATCTGCCGTGTCATGTAATAGAATCACACTCAACGAAAGCATACGAAGAAAGAGTCCACGGGCAACCATCTACTAAAAAACCTGACCTTGCTGGCGGGCGCACCTTATAGATCGCGCGTTTGAACGGCTCCCTTTGCGTCAGGACGAGGTGCATTAAATGTATCCGGTGGCACATACAGCCCCCTTACGGTACTGTACCTGTCAATTTCAACAGTTAGGAAGTCACTCCCAATAGGGTGGTCTACCGTCCCCGGAAACATAATGTCCCAGCGCTTTACACACTATTGAAGGACGGTCCATTAAAAGAAGAGAGCAGTCACACGTGGACTTGAATAAAGAGATCTACACGCAACATTTATTATATATATATATATATTATAGGAAAAGGTAGATTGTGTCAGCGTTGCGCGGACAGAGTGAGAGCGAGGGAGCACCAGGGGCAGGTGGAGGACACAGGATATGCGTCAAAACGTAGAGGATCACATGTGGTGGTGTTTCATCTACAGATATCCGCCAGATCTTGGTAGTTTTTCGGGGCCATTGTTACCGCCTCTTTCGTGACCGGCTTTGGAGGATTCGCCAAATGGATGATGTAGTCCAGGGATATAATGCGATTGTTCGTAGACAGTAGGTGGGATACATGGTTCCGTAAGCCAGAACACGATATAGCCCTCAGCGTATCCTTATATATACATTTTCCAAATACCAACACACTCCACACCAACAAGCCAAAGTTCAGTGCCCAATCATTAGATTTAAAGAATTGGAGCTCCTAGTCAGGTCCAGCAGGGGTTTTTTTATTCATAACTTAAACGTTTTAACCTAAGTAAGCCCGTCACCCCCAAAAGAATAAATCATTAACATGTTCATGGGCTATGCTTATCACCAGTCTGTTTCATCCAGACAAAGTTGTGCCTCACACTATCCCGTATCCACCTTCGAATAACACACCACCGGCGGAGATACAACCCCATAAACTCGTTCTTGCCGAGGCTTACAAGTCATTCATCCACTTGATTTTCTAATAAACATCAATATAAGCCTGTCATATCAAACAGTTCGCGCATGGGATGATTTATTTATATACAAAAATATCAATACAAAAAAACACATTATTAAAAGTATCATGACTTCGTAAGCTAATCTAACCACCCTTCTCCTGATAGCACGATCCCCTAACAAGGCTAATATACTCAGTTGAACACAAACATAAAGTTACGAAATATATTACGTAATGTCAGATTTGTAAGCATGATTATTACTTTTCGTTAAATATGTGACAACAGATTGTCTAGTCAACAATTTTTTTCTTAATATATAATATGTGTCACATTATGTAGAGCAACTATAACTAAGGTTTTCAAGGGTACTACTAAATATGTTGTATATAAAAATATTGATGTAAATATTTATTGTGGATACCTTCTAATACATAATAAAAAGTGCCAACCTCCAATATTTATATTACTTGAATTAAAGAAAATAATTTCTATTTATTTTGTTCCATCTTATCGAGAAACTTACACCGTAAGTCCATAGCTTCTTAAAGGCAGAATGAGTACTTAATACAAGCAATCTGCTTAGATGCTTGGAACACATGTTCAAAGTATTATATTCTTATTTTAAAAAGAACGACAAGATTCCTGGTGAGCGAAACCAAGGTTACAGATGGGGGATCACAGGGCTAGTTGAGGAGACATAACCCTTTGCTCCCGGCCCATCTCCCTTTTGAGGCTCAAGAAAAAAACGTGTTTGTAGCTGTCGTAATTTATGGTGGTAATAACTTTTGATGAAAGCGGGTGCAGCCCCTCGGCAGAAAATGGTATATCTTTCTCATCACCCACACACTCTTAGATTCTGAAATTTAGGGGCTTGCAAATCCACAAGTTAAAAGGTATGAATGATCATTCAAAGTGAGGAACCACAGAACAAGGCAGTAAAATGTCAAATCTTCCTTATGTCTTTACTTCTCGCCATCAGATAGTCTTTATCATATACGGGTTCTGTCTCTTCTTGAATTAGGTCCCATTCATGAGAGAAAAGCCCACGTAATTTCTGACAAATATAACAATTTATTTTCCCCCAAGTGCTCCTCCACATAATTGAGTCCTAAACACATGCGCATGTGGCACACAGTCAGCCCAAAAGCAACAATTTTTCGAGTTGAGTAATCACATTAAGAACTTGGTTTATTGAATTTTACGACTGTACTAACTGTGGTGGCAACGTTTCTTTTTACTATAGAACTAACAACTCTGGAAAATCAATAAAGCTTATATTGTAATAGTAACATCGGAGGGATTCGTGGAAACACCCTGTTGGGGGTTAGGTGAACATTCCTGCATAGAAAGTTTTCTTAAGATGTCTGAAGTTCATTTTCCAAAAAAGTAGTGACATGGTGCTCCACCCCCCACATGCTCCACAAGCACATGTCATTTAAACTTGCACGTCTCCCAGTCTACCTCAAAAAGCACATTTTCCTGCCTGTGATAATTATTGGCTGTGTTATTGGCAAGCCATCTTGGCAATACCGATAATTGTAAATTAATGAATACTGTAAACAGAAACCAATATATTTGCATTCAAAAAGTAAAAATGTAAATTTTAGGGCTGTCATGCAGTGTATGGAAAGAAACACACCACCACGATAGTAGTAATGGGCATAACGTAAGTTTTAAAGGATGGGGCGCGACAAAATACAAAAGTAGGGCGCATGTTTGTGCCGTTGTCTTCTTAACTCAGGCCTGCGCGTCTATTGTTTGAAAAGGTGAATCGACACAAGAACCAAAAAAGTCGCTATTGTTCTGCAAAATTGCAACCAACGTACTGGCAAAGTTGTTCAACAATGTATGCAAGAAACCAATAACTTACTCCTAAAAACTGGATGCCCTGCGCTCAGCAGAAAAATAAGGTGTTCATCCGTCTTATCCATAGTTAATATTCAGCGTTGCTGCTATCAGATGAGTCTGTAACCTCGACATCACTTCTTCTCTGGATTTCGTCCAAGGCCTGAATCATATTTAGTGTACTGTTTAGCTGTAATACAAGATGTGACGAGTTTTGACGAGGCGAGCCGCCATTGTTTCCGGCTACTGACGAACTCGCAGTATGTCACGTAAGCTGGCTCGGGCCGGCTCTATTTTACTTTTATGGTGGCGGCCAAAAACCCAGTTTTAACCGAGCAGGCCGGACTGTGATGAGACATTCTGGAGTTCCTGCATGATGCTCCGTGGTAATAATAGTAGTAGCAGCATTTCTCATGTTGCCCAAAAAGGGCTAGTTTTATCTTTAATTGTTTGCAGTGTGTCTAACCAGGGGTATTAGTAGCTATGACCCTTTGTTTCCCCTTTATTCAGATTGGTTTTGAAAAATACATATCAAAGTTTAATTCAGCAGCATCAGTAGAGACTCATTTACTCATCATTCCAACATACTGAAGGATACAAGGTAATTTAATTGTCATTTATGAACACAGGGTTGTGTCATGATATTCAGTTTGTTGTTCCCTTAATGCTACTCATATATATATATATATATATATATAAAATGATATGCAGTAAATTTGATCAGTAAGTCATAATAAACTCACAGAACATGAAAGGTTTCCCTTTTAAAGTTTTCCCACATATTTTGATTTTGTAATTCACTGACTCAATAAGAATAAATGTTACCTCTGCATTGAAAATGTTGCATATATAACAAGCAACAGAATTTTTCTTTTGGTCACATTCTCTCTCTATAGCATGTTGGTCTCACAGGAATCAGCCTGAAGTATTTTAAGTGTAACAATGAGTTTGACAGATTCTCTAAACCAGGAGTAGAAAAAGGCATAGATCACAGGGTTTAGACAGGAGTTAAAATAAAACAAACATATTACAAAGGCAGCAGTTGAAGCATTGAGTATGGTGTCCTGGCCTGTAAGTATGACACAAAAATATGGGCAGGTACATATTAGAAACACAACTATAACAACACCAAGAGTCCTGGCTGCTTTCATCTCTGATTTCTTAGCAG